TCAGCTTGGGTCATTAGTTCTATCCTCATCAATTCAAGCAAGTTCAGGTTAGGAACATCTGCACACCAAAAAATAAGATAAGTAGATAGCGTCATAAAAATTTGATCCCAAGAAAGAGACATTTGTCACTCTCACTTGGGTAAGAATAGCTCTTCTAGGACCGAGGGACTCTACACTCCCTAGTGCCCACCTCGGAAAACCTTCACGAGTCTCTAGAAGCAAAGAAGAAGCGCTGGGACCCATCCCGAAGGAGGAGAGGGGAGATCAAACACTAAGCGATGTAGCCTGAAGTCTCTCCACCGAAAGCAGATGAAGCATGGAACTTCATCCTCCTCAAGGTTAAAATAGTAAAGAAATTTTGTAACCGTAGAAAACTCGTCATTACCTCGTAGATGCCAGAAGAGGAAGAAACTGGTCATGACAGCCCATCCCATGGGTGAAAGACGAGAGGGACACAAGCCACAATAGGCTAAAATAAACCCAATAGAGGGATAAATGGGAAGGCGTAGACCTAACTCCAAAGCTGCTTCAAAGAAGCATGTCTCGGCAGGAGGAAGGTAATTACAAGGTTTGTCGAAGCTTGAAGCACGTAGAGGTAACTCTAAATCAAGAAAGAATTTCTTCCTTATCCTCCCTAAATTAGAGGACGTAACCACTAAGGGAACAAAGTAGCAAGTATGCCACATCCACTCAACCCCAAAGGAGGTTCGCTCTTGAAACAAAGCAGAAAAGGGAACATACATAGTGGATTCAAGTAAGAAAGAGAAGAAAAGGAAATAGAAGACGTTAAACCCTCAAGAATAACAAAGGGATACCCGGAGGGAAGTGATAGCCAGTACTTATAGGAATCTTTTGAAGACCCCAGATTTTTAGGAAGTTGTTAATTACACGAAACCTTAAGTCGGTGAGTCTCTAGGTTTCCAAATTAAGGGAGCAGGAATCTTTTTGGTAAGAAGGTTATGCATCGAAAGCAGACATCAATGACACCCCGGGATAAAACAAGCAGGCCTCCAAAGAGTTTGGGCAGACGCAGGTTGAGAAGCTAGAAGCTCAGCTAGGTTGAGAAGATGGAGGCTCAGCTAGGCACGTCAGCAGCTATTCCTATCCCTTTTTGCCTCAAAGAGGTCTAAATGACCTTTTGAAGCAAGGGGGGAGAGTTGAGGAGTATTTGAAGAGTTGAGGAATGTTATATCTGAGAAAAGTTGTTAAAAAGCAAACTTGTGAAGTTACATTCCAAATCAAAGGAGATACAACCATAAGTTAATAGATTTGAAGTTACAAAAAAAAAAACTTGCTCTACATCCTAAATTTCTGATGGGGGAGTAAGGCTAGAACTCTGTTGGTTAGTTGCCGGAGCTGGGACAGAAGCAGGTTCAGGAGCGGGAAGCTCAGTAGAAGAGATGGACAAATTAACAGAGTTTGGGCAAGATCCAAAAATGGGAGCTTCTAAATGTGGGGCATCTGTAGTAGTTGGAAGAGCTGAAGCTTCAGCAGCAAGGTCAGCAAAAGGAGGGAGCTCAGCAACAGGGTCTTCTGAAGAGCCGGGGGGGGGCACTTTCTCTTCCTGCTGTAACCGCCTCTGTACCTTCAGGGGGCACCCTCACCTTCTGCTTCAACCATCTCTAGGCCCTCATCATCAGGGATATCAAAGTTGAAATCGAGCTCAGGGTAGGTCTCCTCAGCTCTTTCCTGAAAGGCCAACCACTCAAAAGCCCATTTTATGGTGACATCATCTCACAGCTTGGCAATGTCTTTGTCCCTTGCAGATACAACAGCCTTAAACCCTTCAAGCTCGCTGCAAAGGGCTCCGCTTGCCTTAGATAGAGCAAAAAAATCTTGGGTTAAGCTTGCAAAGGAGCTCTGAGCAGCAGAAGCCTCCTTGTTAGCCTTGGCCTAGGTATCCCTAGCCTTTTTCTCCCCCTCCTCAGCCTTGGCCTTCGCAGCTATTAAGCCCTCAATGGTGGAAGTCTGCTTCTCCGTTTTGTCTTGAAGTTCTTGCAATTGAGCTCGCGGGTCATCATTCTCAAAAGATAGCTTGGATACCTTAATTTCGTAAGCTTTCACCATTTTGACAAATTTTTTTGTGAAAAAGACCCTGTTCATCAAGCTCTTTGCATGAATAGCAGACTGGGGACAAGAGGGAAACAGATAAAAGTTAGTGAAGTTCGGGTAAAAAAAAATGGAGCTTATTGAATCCTCAAGGGATATTAAGAGAGCCCTTTTTACATCTGAGTTGGGAAGAATAGAAAAAAGGGCTTCAGCAGCGAGGTCAGGGCTATCGAGAAAAGATCCTTCACTCTTTTCTACCTTGAGATGCTCCTTCTTCAAAGCCTTGGAGCTTTTAGGAAGGGGTCGAGAAAATGATGCAGAGGGGGGATCGAGAGAGGTCAGGAATTGGGTGGTCTCCTCCAGAGCTCTCTTGACCTCAGAGACTGAAGGAGATACCTGTACTAAAGCAACGACGCTTGGAGCAGAAAGTGAAACACCTTGAGATGGGAGATCTGGGATAACTGGGGCAGAGGAAGTATGTGACATGCCAGTCCTGGGCACCTTAGTAGGAGGTATGGAGCCATCGCCAGAGCTAGGTTCTGACTTGCACTTACCACCGCTCTTGCTGCTACTCTTGATCTTCTTCATTAGAGAAAGCTTGGCCTTGAGTTCAGCAGTAGTGGGCTCCATTGAGGATGAACCTAGGAGACCTAAAAATAGCTAAGCCTCGTTATTTAGCGGAGAAAAGAAGATAGAGGAATCAAAGGCAGGAGGAAAGTGTTACCTAATATATCTTCGGCAGAAAGCGAGGTGGGGCCAACAACGAAAAGTGGAAGGGGAGCTTCAACCCTCACCTCAAGCAAGCAGAATCCGTGTTCTACGAGAGTCCAAGGTTGGATGAGCTTAGAGTATTTCTCTGGTTTTCACTTTTTCAATTTCTGCAATACTCGCTCGTCTTCAGCGCTGAGCTCGGTCGGATACCTAGAAAACCAAGGAAAACAAGAAATAAGTTAACAAAACAGCCAGGCTTGGATTAAATACGGTCTGGGCAGAAACATACCTAAATTATCGGGGGCAGACCACTCTGTAGGGATGGGGAGGGTATCAATTTTATCCTCTGAGTTGAACTCTCATTGTGTACCCTCTACAAAGAAAAATTGTTTTTTCCAGCCCTTATGGGAGCTTGGGAGGTCAGAGATGACCTGTTTGGCCTTAGTTCTCTTGGAAATATAAAAAAAAACTGTCATAGGAGGTCTGCTTGACATTGAACAGCTCCATAAGTATGGAAACATTAGGGACCCCAAGCTTATGGTCCTTAAAGAAGACTAGTAAACCCACAAGAACACCTCAGAAGTTTGGGGAGAGCTGGGCAGGGCAGACATTGAAGTGTTGAAGGACACCTTTGATAAAGGGATGAATAGGGAAGCGAAGTTCGTTATCAAAAGCTGCCAGGAAGAAACAGACCTTCTTGTGGACATGGTGAACATATGTGGTGTACGTATCAGGACTCCAGAGCTGAACCCCTGGGGGGAAACGAAAGCGAGCACTGAGAACCTTCAGGTCAGAAAGGGTAAGTCCGTTGGGACCTACAAGTTTAGCGTTCCTAAAGGCAGCCCCTGTGCTTGAAACAATGACTCCCACACCACTTACTTTGCCTTTGCCCTTATCAGGTGTATCAGGAATGGGAGAAGAGGTGGAGGGGGCCTCCTCGATTTTCACCTCTACCTCGGCAGAATCTACACCAGGAAAGTTGTCAATCTCGTCACCTACATCCCCTAAATCAAAATCTCTTTCGGCAGACCTATCACCTAAGAGGGAAACAGAGGAAGGAGTTGCTCCAGAGAAGGCAGACATGATTGATAGAGAAAAAGGCAGATTGAAAGAATGATGAAGAGGAGGAATACTAATCAAACACCCCCTAATAATCCTAGGATCAGCACTGTACCCCCCAATGGTAAGAATTCGCACAGTGGAGTTCCAATCCACAAAGCGGGGAATAGGAGATAAACAACAATCTCGATTCCAAAAGTAAAAGAACCGAAAAACCCAAAAACAAAACGGCCACCTCGAATTCCAGGGCTCCAGAGCAGGGAAAGGTCAGAGAAAGAGAAGGGGGCAGAAAGGGCGTACCTAGACAGGGAAGAGATCAGCGAATAGCAACTGAGGATGAAATTGGAGAGAAGAAGCAAAGCAAGACTTCGAGGCGTACCCAAAAATGAAGTCTTGAGCAGAGAATGAGTGAATCGTGTGTAGGAAAGCCCAAAAATTGTAGAGGAAAAGGGGCAGAGGCAAAGGTGAACATCGTAGAAGATGAACAGAGAATTTTGAGCGATTTTTGGGTAGCCGTTTGAGGATTTAATGCTTGAGTGACGTGGGCTGAAACATGCACAAAAATCGAGGAAGACATGATTGTTGTAAGCCGTCAAAGAGCCCCCCACGTGCATCTCACATGCGAACTAAGGTCAGCTAGGTGCAGGCCTGGTCCAATGAGAAAGCAGCTCAGCCCATGCCCAAGCTCGCTTGAACCAAGGGCTGGGAGGCAACTGATGATATCTAAAATAAATTCCAAGTGCTAAGCTCAGGAGGTCAGCTTGGACCAGGAGGTCAGACACATTAGCAGAGGTCAGAGGCTAAGGGTCGAGTGTCTCTTAAGGCAAGATAATAACTGGATAACCATGAGAGGATCTAAAGCGTTAGGAAACTGTAATCAAGGCACCCTATCTCAACCAACCAAGATCTTCTCCTAGAATTAAGGAGAAGCCCATGAAATAAGGGCAATAATCTCAGCTAAGATCCTTCTTAGCAGGGAAGGGCCTTATAAATGCAAGGTAACACCCCCTAACAGGGGGGGAACCCTAGTGGCAAAAAGAAGCCACAACAACCTTGTAATCACCGTGAATAAAACAAAAGGAGCAAGAGCCTCCATTCCAGAGTGGACTAGCCGAACTCTCAAGCTGGTGAACCACTATAATTTTGTTGTCTTAACATCCAAAGCCCTAGATATTATTGCATCATCTTAGCAACCTAACGTAATCCCAGCTCATCTTTTGTAAAAGTGCGTTAACGCCATCACTTGGTATCCCTATTCCCACTCTCTTCTCCTCCAAAACCCTAGCAATCAACCCTTGGTCTCCCAAGTAAGGCAGCATAATCAATGGCCGCCCAAATTGGAGTCCTTCAATGACTGAACTCCAATCGCAACGAGTCACGAAACCACCCACCGAGTCATGTGCTAGTATCCTGAGTTGAGGCACCCAACTAGTCCATACAACTCCACGACCTTCGGTTCGCTCTAGGAACCCATCTGGTAACTCAAATGAGTTGGCCGAGTCATGCTGCTTCCTTAGAGCCCAAAAGAAGGGCAGACCACAAAGCTCTAACACTAGAGCCAACTCTGTGAGTTCAGCTTGACTCGGTGTCACCTCGCTCCCGAGTGCTACGTATACAACAGACTCTTTCTCTTGTATGTCCAGCCATACATTGATTGTGTGCCAAGTATCATCCTTGCCACCCTTGTCGCCTTGGAACGAGGGTGGCAATAAACCTACTGCAACAACTGGCTTTTGTTGGAGCTCTTGCAAGAGGTGCAACCAGTTAGGTTCAAGCTCTGTACAGCTCCTTATGAGAAACACGTCGCATCCCATTACAGTCTTCCCAAAACGCAACGCGTCTGAAATGCCAAAAATATTATCATCAACACTGTTGTACAATCTCTTTATCTCATGGAGCCAAAAAGCGATACAAGATGGAAATGGAACCCATTTCGGTGCTACGGTAAAGTCCTCCAGCTTCGTACGATAATCAGCGGAGTTCGCCATGGTGATCGCCGATCCAAAGAAAGCCCCGGACCATGCATTGACTGTACTAAAGAAGGCAAGTGAAATCCCAAGTTGACTTGCAATTTGGGGCAACCAGTGAGGGGGAAAGTCATAGATGATCCAATCGAGGTTTGAGATCTTGAGGAACTGAGTCAACTCAGTTTGGAGACCATCGAAGGCTTTTTTCAAATATTGGACCTTGTCGTAGGGCACGTCAATGGTGGCCTCTGCGTGTTCAGGGAGGTTGTCGACTCGGGGTAAAGGGAGCTTCACTAAACTCAGTAGAGGAGCTGAGTTTGGAGGAAATTTTGGCAATCGATCAATGTTTCTAGGGGTTGATATGAAGGAGACTTTGTGACCCTTTCCAGCTATGGGCTTGGAAAGCTCTAAGAATGGGATAATGTGACGAAAGGCTAGCCATGGGAACAAAACTACGTGTAGCTTATCAGCTTCAGCCATGGACTCTCTCTCTTCTCTGATGCATTTATAAAAGATAATGCATGTATAAAATGATAAAGTCGTGTTCTTCATCCCTACTAGACAATGGCAACAAGTATAATTTATGAACTTACATTTCCCATGCAATGCGTAATGGAGATACCGGAGATCCACACTATATTGTCTTGAACAATGCTATTGAGACCTAATTTACTGACATAATTTGCTGATTTAATTTAATATGACTTTTGGATTAATTGTGGGCTCCATCAAATATTAGAACTTGGTGTTTATCTAATAGTTCCAATGAAGCCACGTTATTAAATTAACAAATTATGTCAGATTTTTAGGTTCAAATATCATTTTTCTATTTTCTTGGGGATGATCAATATGAGAATATCCCAGAGGGTATAAAGGAAGAGCAAGTTGGTGACCATTAATTAATTACCGAAATAGAAGACTTAAGTGAAATAATATCAAAATTGCAAATGTGATCTCCATGCATCATATATCTATACATTTGATACAATAGATTTGTTTGAGTTTGGAAGAGGATATAAATCCAGACACAAGAAAAAAAATATCAAAATTGCAAAACAAACACTAGTTAAAAATATATCCTTAAAAAGCAAAAAAATAAAAGACAGGAAAAGGAAAAAGGGGAAGGGGGTGCCCGGGGGGGGGGGGGGGGTTGCAGTGACAAATGCATACACAGATCAAACAAATCTAAAGTTACCTTTACCAGAAGATTAATGACTTCAACCAGAAAATTAGGAAAATTTCTCAGGAGAAAGGAGGTATTGCATTTTAACATGTTACAAGCTACCATGGTTTCAAACTTTAAAACAACTTTTGCAAAGTAATTCCCAAATAATTGCACTCACCCACAGGTATCGGTTAAACATATATATATATATATACACACACACACACACATACACAGATCTGTTTATATGTGTAGATTTGTGATTGAACACTCAAACTAGGAATTTTTATTGAACTTGGTGATATGTGGTCATCATGTAATTATCAGGTTGTTTAGCTGATATTGTTATCAGGCTGTGTAGTTGATATGGAATAAGTAATATTGTTATTAGGTTGTTTAGCTGATATTTTTATCAGGTTGTTTAGTTGATAAGGAATAAGTCAAGATCAGGTTGTTTTGATTTGGTTGTTATCAGGATGTTTAGGAGCTGCAAGTTTATCTCCAAATCTTTAGCAACATTGTTATTCCTTCATGTATTTAAAGCTTGGTTGTGTTCAATAAAAAGGGGATATAATACCCAAAACTATTTCTTCTTCCGCCTCCACTATTATTCTCCTTCTTCCCAAATTTTACGTATCAGTAGTATCAGAGCGCGGTTCCAATCATGGACACTCGTAGTAAAACGAATGCAAAATTTCGCAACGACGTCAATGAAGCCTTAGCCCAACATGAGTCAAGTTTCGATCAGATGAACTTAGTTTTACAAGCAGTGTTAGTTGAGCTTCAAGCCCTCCGCACCTCCTGTAACCAAAACCCAAACTCTCATGATATCAACTCGTTCGCACCTGAAGGATCATCACATCCCCACACTTTCCATTCTCTTACCTCCAACGGTCAACCTCAACATCACCTTAAACTCTCCTTTCCCAGATTCGAAGGGAACAACCCCACTGGCTGGGTGTACAAGGCACAACAGTATTTTGATTTCAAAGACATTGCACCTGCCCAACAAGTCCAGTTAGCCTCTTTCCACCTAGAGGGAATTGCCCTCCAATGGCACCGATGGTTAAATAAGTTTCGTGGACCTCTCAAATGGAGCGAGTTCGTCAAGGCCATGTTGCTCCATTTCAGACACACTGATGAGGATCCATCGGAGTCACTCACACGTCTCAAACAAACAACCACCGTGGTAGCTTACCAGGAAGCCTTCCAAAGGCTCTCACACCAAGTCGACGGTCTGCCTAAGGGGTTTCTCAGAGGGTGTTTTGTGGCAGGTCTTCAAGATGATATCCGCATCGACGTAACGATCAAGCAGCCCCACACATTGGCAGATACGATCGGGGTCGCACGACTGATCGAGGAGTGCAACCTGTTGCAAAAGAAACCCAGCCCTCTAGCCCGTTCATCACCAACCATGATGACACCCAAAGCACCAACCAATCTAGCGGCTGGCATCCTTGGTTGTGTTATTATTGCGATGAGAAATTTGTTCCCGGCCACCACTGCAAACGACCGTAGCTGTTTATGATTGAAGACACTTCGCACCTGACTCTTAAGGAAGATAAAGATGATTCACAGGAAATGGTAAGTCCTGAGGACATACCGAAAATTTCATTTCATGCCATTGCCGGTGCCAAACACCCACAAACCTTACATGTACTGGAGAATTTGAGGAACAAGAGAGTAACGGTGCTCATCGACTGTGAAAGCACTCATAACTTCAATGACTAAGCTGTAGTCTCCAAGTTTGGGTTACTAGTAAATCAAAGCAAGTCATTAGTGGGAGAATTGTTGGTTTATTTTTATGGAGTCTAGTTTGTATATGTGATCCGGATGATGACCCGACCCGAAATAATGTTGTGTGGTTTTTAATGGAAAATTTTCTGAGGCTTAGTCCATGGAGCGAAGGCTTGGGCCGATAGGCCCAAGCCGTAGCGCTCATGGACAAGTCTCGTGGGGGTGCCCCCGAGGAAAATTTTTTTGGGCCCGTTATACAGCCCAGTGCGTAGGACATATAAACCCTGTTGTTTTGGTGATTAGGGTTAATTGTGTATGGTACAGCCGCTCTCTGTATTCAACTCTCTCAATAGTGAAATCCCTGCAGCTTCGTGGACGTAGGCAAATTGCCGAACCACGTAAAATCTGTGTCTTGTTCTTTCTTGTTTCTTATTGCTTTATATTCTTGATTTGTTCTTCGATTGTGTGTGTTTGTTAGTGGATTCAAATCGTGAGAAATCCCAACAGTTATGGTGGCCAACCAAGAGAAGATCAATTGTAATGGACAATGTCAAGCTCTCACACTGAACATCCAAGGACAAACCGTCACTACTGACTACTATATCCTTCCAGTCACTGCTTGCCAATTAGTGTTGGGAGTACAGTGGCTTGAAACTCTTGGGCCCATTGAAATGGATTTCAAGAGACTCACTATGAGCTACAAAAAGCATGGAAAGACATAAACCCTTCGAGGATTAAAGCGAGCAGACATCGGAGCATTAACAGACAAGGAATTCCATGGGCTACAGGGGATCAGATTATTCTTTCAAATAACCCCCTCCTATCCCAGCAACAAAAGTATATCCTACCCTCATGAGATGAATCGCCTCATATCCAAATTCTCACATGTGTTCGAACCACCCACCAGTTTACCTCCGAAAAAGATCCCATGACCACCACATACCATTACGAACAAATTCAGGGCCAGTGAGGGTGAGACCCTACCGGTACCCCTATTACCAAAAAATTGAGATAGAAAAAATGGTACAGGAGCTTTTGTAATCTGGATTGATAAGGCCGAGTAATAGTCCAATCTCATCACCCGTAATGTTAATAGAGAAGACAGATGGCACTTGGCAAGTTTGTGTGGAATACCGAGCTTTAAACGACATCACCATTAAAGATAGAGTAATGCTAGATGAATTTAAAAAGTAGACTTGATAATCTTAAACATTGATTTCACTGTAGATCTCAGCATTAATTGGGACTCACTACCTATTCAATGATTGAGATTATCAAGTCTACTTTTTAAGTCCATGTAACATTACTCTTAAAGATAAATATCCAATTCTGGTGATCGACGAACTATTGGATGAATTGCATGGATCCCGATACTACTCTAAATTGGATCTACGGTTTGGATATCATCAAATTCGGGTACAAGGAAACGACATCCATAAATCGGCCTTTCGAACACACGAAAGGCATTACGAGTTTGTAGTAATGCCATTTGGCCTTACCAACACTACAACAACCTTCCAAAGTCTCATGAATGATCTTTTCCACCCCTACCTGCGGAGATTTATTTTGGTTTTCTTCAATGATATCTTGGTATACTCCAAATCATGGGAAGACTATCTCACACATTTACAAATTGTTTTGAATATTTTGACCACTAATGATTTGTTTGCCAAGGAATCGAAATGTCAATTCAGTGTCATACAGGTTGACTACCTAGGGCACATAATCTCAAAAAAAGGAGTATCGGTTGATCCTGCCAAAATACAAGCGGTAATTGAGTGGCCTACACCGACATCAACCAAAGGAGTCCAAGGGTTCCTAGGGTTGGTAGGATATTATCAAAAATTCATTCGTCACTTCGGAAGTATAGCAGCCCCGCTAACTCGACTACTAACCAAGGAAGGATTCCAATAGAATGAAGCTGCAAAAATGGCCTTCAAAAAGTTGAAGGAGGCCTTGACTAACCCACCAATCCTGTGCCTACCAAGTTTCTCTCAACAATTTGTGATTGAATGTGATGCTAGTGTAATTGGAATTGGTGCGATTCTCTTCCAGCAAAACCGACCAGTGGCATATTTTAGCGAAACATTAAAAGGTTCCGCTTTAGCCTTATCCGCTTACGAGAAAGAGATGTTGGCAATTGTCAAGGAAATTAGGAAATGGCGGCCCTATTTGCTTGGGAAACCATTTACAGTTCAAACTGACCAGAAGAGTCTGAAGTATCTCCTGGAGCAACGGATCACAACCCCTGCACAGACACGCTGGCTACCCAAGATTCTTGGCTACGATTATGAGATCGAGTACAGAAAAAGAACTGAAAACCAAGGTGCAGATTCTTTATCTCGAGTCATGGAATTCCACTTTTTATCCATCTCAGCACCTCAATCAGACTAGTGGTTGATCCTTCAAAAAGAAGTTCAACAGGAATCATTTTATGAAGAATTGAAAGCAACAGACTCGTCCCTAATCCAACGAGATGGGGTGTGGTTCCGACAAGGCAAGGTCCTTTTAAGTCCCGCTTCTATTTTGATTACAAAAATCTTAACGGATTGCCATGCATCCCCAATTGGTGGGCATTTTGGGTTCCATAAGACACTCGCCCGTATTAAGCAAGATTTTTTTTTGTCAAATATGCATCAAGCATTAAAAGAATTCTTGTAGCAATGTGATGTGTGCCAACGCTTCAAAACGAATTGCATGAAGCTAGCCGGGCTACTCCAACCTCTACACATGCCAACACAAGTGTGGACCGAAATATCCATAGACTTTATCAAAGGCTTACCATCTTCTCAAGGGTATACTTCCATTATGGTCATTTTCGATCGCTTAACGATGTATTCCCACTTCATTCCTTTAAGGCATCCCTTCACCGTCATCATTGTTGCCAAGGCTTTCATCTCCAACATAGTCCGTTTACACGGCATCCCAATCTCGAGCATTAGTGACCGAGACAAGGTCTTTTTAAGCACCTTCTGGCAAACATTATTCTAGTTCCAAGGCACCAAGCTATGTATGAGCTTGAGTTACCATCCTCAATCTGACGGCCAGAGTGAAGTCGTTAACCGAACCCTAGAACAATACTTTCAGTGCTTCCCAGGCGATCAACCACGAAAGTGGTTTAACTGCATTCCTTGGGCCGAATTCAGCTACAACACATCTCTCCACTCTTCGACTAAGATACCACCATTTGAAGCTGTGTACAGCATTCTGGCCCCTCGCTTGCTCACTTATGTTCCCGGAACCTCGAATGTTCAGGTAGTCGAGGAATACTAGTGTGACCGATATTCCATCCTCCGTGAACTATGACGCAACCTCTTGCTTGCTCAAAATTGAATGAAGTGCCGAGCCAACCAACATTGATGTGAGGTCTCCTTTGCTATTGGCGACTATGTGTACCTAAAACTACAACCTTACCGACAATCCTCAGTTGCTTTCCGGAGCTCCATGAAGCTTGCCTTGCGTTTCTATGGACCCTACCAAGTCATTGAGAAAGTGGGATCAATGGCCTACAAATTGGCATTGCCTCCATATTCACAAATCCATAATGTATTTCATGTAAGCCTGTTACGAAAATATTTTGGACCAGTCGCTTCCACCATTGCCCAACTTCCTCTTGTTTCTGAGACTGCAACTATCCTTCCACAACCTGAAGCTATTATCAATCGACGAGTAGTACGCAAAGGTAAATACCATCCCAAAACTAAGATTTTGGTAAAATGGGTAGGTGCTCCGGTGGAAGATGCGACATGGGAGAACGAATGGCGATTCACCAAGTCCTATCTTACATGTATCCTTGAGGACAAGGATCGTTAAATGGGGGGGAATGATATGTGGTCATCTTGTTATCAGGTTGTTTAGCTGATATTGTTATCAAGTTGTTTAGTTGATATGGAATAAGTCATCTTGTTATCAGGTTGTTTAGTTGATATTGTTATCAGGTTGTTTAGTTGATAAGGAATAAGTCAAGTTCAGGTTGTTCTGATTAGATTGTTATCAGTAGGAGTTACTAGTTTCTCTCCAAATCTTTAGTAGTATTGTTATTCCTTCATGTATTTAAAGCTTGGTTGTGTTCAATAAAAGAAGGATATAATACCCATAACTATTTCTTCTTCCCTTTCCACTATTATTCTCCTTTTTTTC